TTTGCATAAGCAGAACATTTCGGTGTTTGATGTCATTCCGTTGTATGGGCAGATTTTCTTATTTTTTGCTCTATGGCGCTGGTTGTGTACCACAGAAAGGAAATTTGGCTCAAAAAATTAGATGTGCCTCACGGCATCTGTTATGTTTCATCCCTCACTTGAGCAGCTCACGGGCGGGAAATAATGATTTATGTTCAGTCAGTTGATCATACAAGTCCAATCCTCTTTTCTTAATCTCCAGCACCTGTGCTTGGAAGAGAATCGAGTCATGCCCAACGTGGTTCTGCCATTTTAACCCTCATTATGTATCGACATAGTCAACAGTTTGCAATCATTCTTGCTCCTTCGTTACAACAAATTCCTCCATGCCGTACAACAACAGTGACCTGACTATAGGCGGATTTTCTAGAAAGAGCTATTCCCTTCTCAGTCCAAATATAATTTCAAAAGCCCTCAGACTAGGGCTATCCTCCTCTTTAACTCCGGCTGGATAGCGTCATCGCTGGAGCTGATTGAGTCGAGACACTTAGACTGGTCAACTTCATGAAGGGCTTCACCTTCGTTTTCCACTTGTAGACCAGCTTCAGCTTTGCAGGATGGATTCGTGATAATTTTTGACTTCCGGAAATTCAGGATGAGGTCAAGTTTCGCAGCTGTGCTGCACACAGAAGCCGTCAATTTGTAGAACCCGCTGCCCACTCACCGGAACAATACAGTCGGTGTGCTCCGAATCAGCAAGAGATCCAGGCGGATATTTTCAACTGTGTCTTCGTTTTAGAATAAAACTCGTATTTGCCAGATGAGCACAGTTTTACAATATAAAGTCGGCAAACAGGTTTGATAGCAAAGAGGAATACACATCTCCATGGCGAACGATGCAGCAGATTTGACACCAGTCAGATGGAGCGCCTTCGTCTTTAGCAGTACATACGATTCTTCCATAGATCTCTGGGAACAAGGTATCCGGGATGTCTGACAATATTTTGAAATTGTCCAAAATTGTCGTATTTGTATGACGACGTAGTGAACTAAATGCAGTTGCGAAGCAGTTGCTCATAAGTTGCAACGATTGCTATAAATATAAGAAAATAGATTTCTCGTTATTCAGTGGCGGCATGCATACATCGCGGCACGATCATGTACGGCTCGTTTATGGGAACGTCAGAATTTAAGTTTACCACCGAGTCTGTAACTAGTACCATGGAGGAAGTGGAGGAACGTGCACTGATAATCAGGTGCAGCATCAGGAACAATCTGAAGAATTGTTTTCAAAGAAAATACTTGACCGTACTCGACTAAGAATTACATGGCACGTTCGACGATCTGCAGTCAATCGCTGTGGACCCACCAATCGAAAGACTGACGAGTTTCCCAAAGCAACTGTTTCTCTCAAGGGACTAATTTCTATCAGAGTTTCATCCGTGTTATGCGGTCAGTGAAATGAATCCTTCATAAACATTCCGCGCTTATTACTGAGCCGAAGAATGGCGCTGAACAAAGATTTTGCAAAGCTTGACGTTCGAAATATTTCCTGTTTAAAGGTTTTTCAACAGACTGCATCAGCAAAGGGTTTCTGTTTTCGCTTCACTTGCTTCTGTGAAGCGCCCATTAGATAAAATAAGATATAAACACGTTTAAATGAATAATAGTGAAATGCTTTGATTGATGTCTTTGAAACTAAAGCGTACTTTATCATTGTCGGTGACTTTTTGTTTTTGACTTGAACCATGAATCAAAAGCCTAGTGTTTCTTTTTCTAGTGCCCGATCGCTCCGCAGATGAAAGAAGAAGCAATGGAACAGACAGGGAAATGCCTTCAGAGTCGTGTTTATTGGTGAGGGAAAATTTGAGGAAGTGACCAATCGGCGGATTGAAATGGTCAGTGGCGTACGGTGTGAATCAGCCCGAACCGTTGCGACTAAAGCAGCTCTGGGTCTGAAGACTACGCCGTCTCCGTTTAAGTCTATCTGTGTCCCCATGCTCACCTGTGGTCATGAATGGTGGGCTGTGACTGAAAATCATGGATCTCAGGTCAAGCATCTGCCAGGATGCGTTTTCTTAGACGAATCGCTGGACTGACGCTTCTCGACATGGTCCTGAGTTCAGATATCTTATGCAGCCTTTGTGAACAGCCGTTGCTTCTGAAAATTGTGCGGTCACAGCTACAAAGGTTTGAGAAAAGATGGCATAAATATCTACTGCTTTACAAACCGCTGGACCAAAACCCTGGAACTCTCAAAAATAACATTACGCAAGTCAATGGTGGAAAGACCCCGTTCCAGACACGGCCTATGTTCTGCCGAAGCTCAAAGCTAGCATAAATGAGGCTGTCTGGCACGTCTGCATTCGCGACCAGAAATGATCAGAATAAGTCATCGAACTGCTTGATCAACTTGAACCATGATTTGAAACGAATTTGGGCGAACCATCTTTTCAGAGGCAAGGAATCCATAGTCCTAAAATGTTTCTTGAATTTCTGGAGCTAATATACCCAAGAAGCAATAGTGAAAGGAGATATAAAAATCACTATTCTAACATACCTTAATTGACCTGAGAGAGTAGTGCTGTTTTTCGTCCATGCATTACAAGTGTTAAGTCAATGGAGCAGTTGTTTCTTATTTAATTCCATTGGCGGGTAGATCCAAAAGAACGGTGCGACTCTGAGTATTAAGCCGGCGAATTAGCGGGGGAAGTTGTGAACTCATTTACTTTCCTCTATCTTAGGTAAAAAGAGAACAAGCCAAGTCTAATTTCGTATCGAAAGTCATCCATCTAATATCGTGGGACACGCAAACAGTAGTTCGTGAGGGTTTGCACTCAGAAAGGAGTGCCGAACAAAGCAGTCTCGTGTGGAAACCCTCAATAAGAATGAAGAC